GGAATGGAGGCAGATTTTAAGGAAAGATTACATATTTTTGTCAGGAGATCCACAAGTTTACATTTGAGTTCTTTCAGAACTCTTGGATGTATGCCATCTGGGCATGGTGATTTATCAGTTTTTAAGGTGTCTGTCAGTCTTGGGACCTCCTCTCTTGCCACCTCAATCTGACTCAGGGTTTTCAACACCCCTCCCAAAATTATTGGTTCTGGAATGGGCAAGCACTTTTCAATTTCCACAGTGAAAACAGAGACAAAAAATGCATTCAGCTTCTCAGCTTCCCTATCATCCTTCAGTAATGACCCCACTGCCTCCATGGCTGGTTTCCTGCTTCTAATGTATTTGAAGAAAGTTTAACTCTTGGTCTTTATGGTTTTTTGCTATACGTTCCTCATATTCCCTTTATGCCTGCCTGATCACAGACTTGCATTTTATTTGCCACAGCCTGTGTTCCCTTTTATCAACCTCACTGAGACTAGCTTTCTACCACTTAAAGGAATCCTTCTTACCTTTTACAGCTTCCATTACTTCATTTATTAAAAATGAAGGCCTTTTTCTATACCTATTTGTGCCTTTCCTAACCTGCAGAATATATTTTATCTGAGCTTCTAGGATTGTAGTTTTAAATAGCCTCCAAGCGTCCCCAATGGTTTTGACCCTTTTTACTTTTCCTTTCACTTTCCTCTTCACATGTTCCCTCATTTCAGAGATACAAATGTTGAATTCAATAACATTATGGTCACTGTTCCCAAGTGGTGCAATCGCTTTTACATCTCTCATCAGGTCTTGGGCATTATTTAGGACCAAATCTAGGATCACCTCTCCCCTGGTAGGTTCTGTGACTATGTGCTCCATAGCACAGTCATTGAGAGTGTCTAGAAACTCAATCTCTTTTTCCCGACTTGAACACATACCAACCCAATCAATGTGTGGGTAGTTAAAATTGCCTATTATGACATAGTTATTTCATCTAGCCACTATCTTTAATTCATTCATCATTTTATAATCCTCCTCTATCTTTTGATCTGGTGGGCAATAACAAACTGCCAGGGTTAAGATTCCTTTTGAGCCCACTATTTCGACACATAGCTTTTCCAGAAGTGAATCTAATTCTCTTACCTTCTCAATCTTACTGGACTGTATACTCTCTCTGACATACAGAGCCACCCTACCTCTAACTTTTCTCCCGCTATCCTTCCAATATAATTTATAACCAGGGATCACGATATCCCACTGATTTTCCTCATTCCATCAAGTTTCTGAAATACCCACAACGTCTATGTTTTCCCCCAAACCAAGCATTCCAACTCCCCAGTTTTACCTTAGACACTTCTAGCATTTGTAAATAAAGCTCTATAATTCCTCAGGCATGTTATGCCTGCAACCTTCCTCCTGCTGCCTCAAGACCTTGGCATCACCCTGGACAGGACCTTGAGCTATAAACACCATCTTACCAATGTAGCAACAAAAATACGCATGGGAAAAAACATCCTCTAAAAATTATGTGTTACAACTTGGGTTGCATCTGCTACAGCACTTAGATGCTCAGCTTTGGGGTTGGTGTATAGTACTATGGAATATGGTGCTTCAGTGAGGCTCAACAGCCCCCATGTCCACAAGCTTGATGCCCAAGTCAATACAATGAGAACCATCAGCAGATGTATTAAACCCATTTTGACCTATTGGCTACCTACATTGTGCCACATCACTCCCCCACATCTCCAAAGACAAGATGCTCTTCTCTGTGAATATAAAATGATCAAAAACAGTGAGCTGTCCATTCACAAAGACATGGCTGACACGGGCCTATCCAGACTAAGATCCCGACACCCAGCAATAAAATCGCACAAATCCTGCAATCACAAAATTTTGATCTAAGGAATGAATGGTCATGAATATGGATGCAATCAGTTCCACCTGTTATCTATAACCTGATGAACACCAACGAGAAGCCTGCAGGATTTGACTTGCCATGTAAAGCATGGAAGACAGCTAATAGAATACGAATGGGCTTTGGCAGATGTGCTGACCTGTTATTTAAATAGGATTGAAAAATTTAGATGGTATTTAGTGAGATGGTTCGATCTGTCTGCATACACATTGTATCAACTTGGTTACATATTTCATATTATTATATCTTTCCTGTGTGTAATCCTGCCATACAAGAAATAAATAAATCCCCTGGACAAAATGGCTACTTTGAAAGGTGGAATCTATGGCATTGTGCCCTGCTGAGGTCCTTCTCCTCCCCAAACTACACCCTACTCAAGCTCCACCCCTAAAATTTCCCAACCTGTTAAGTATCTACGTAGACCTGGGCTTGATAGACAGCATGTCAGAATTTCTAGGCTATGGTGCCTGTAGTTACCATCTCTCTCCAGGAAGTCTGCATAAAGCCTAATTCAGATCTGATGCTGCCTAAGAAAAGAGGCACCTGTGAGGGGAGGAGGAGGAGAGGAGGAGAATGAATTTATACCATTCTCGGAATCTCAGAGAGGCTTACCAACTCCTTTCCCTTCCCCTCCCCACAACAGACACTCTGTGAGGTAGGTGGGGCTGAGAGAGCTCTTTCCAGAACTGTCCTTGAGAGAACAGCTCTGACAGAACTATGGCTTGCCCAAGGTCATCCAACAGCTGCAAGTGGAGGAGTGAGGAATCAAACCCAGTTCTCCCAGATTAGAGTCCGTGCACTGAAGCACTGCACCAAACTGGCACAGTGTCTCATTCAAACCAAGCTGCTACCTGTACAATGCCATTACAGAGCATGCACAGCTGCTTCATGTGGGTGGCAGCCTGGTTTACATGAGATGCTGAGTAAGTGCAAAAACCCAAGGAAAAGTGCTTTTTTGTGTTAGCCAGCATGAGATTTGAAACAAGTCTGAGTTTTTGCACCAGGGGTGTCTGGAGTGCCACTCACCAGCCTCCTTGGTTTCAATGAGCTATTCATCAGCTTTCAGGGCAGGGTGCCGATGATGCTTCAAGAAGCCCATTGAGAGCCATCCAACCATAGCCAAAATAAATCCAAAGCTTCTCAGCACTGACAAGATGAAGCACCCTGCCCTGCCCTGACCTTAAACAGCCGTGCAGTAACATGCCCTGAGCCCATTTTGTTTCCTCACAACCACACCTACATTGCACCAATGGACTTTTTGACCGTTTCCCATCCAGCAGCAGCAAATGCCTTGCCCCAAGGCTCCGTGAGATGTGAGCCTCTGGAGCACTGTGGCATATATTCCTTATGGTGAAAAAGGGAAATATTGAATCATTCATCCCATCCACTCTGTGAAATCACAGACTGGCTCAAAAATATATTTAGCATCTTAAATTATTCTCCATGCTTCTTTGTCGCTATAGATCTCTCTCTCTCTCTCCCCCTCCCCATAAGCAATTAGGATTTGCGATGTGTACTTTAACTAGCAAGAAGAATGCCATTCATACAGACAGACAACTATGAATTTATGACAGTATTAACCATGTCAGCCATCTAGTACATGCTGTGACCTTCTCATTCAGCAGCTGTTCTGACAGTTTTTGTTGTTGTGAAGCTATCCTGCTTTTCCAGCAGGAAACTTAATGACAGGTGGTCATTATTCACTACTGATTGTTCCCTTATTTTTGAGCCCACAGCTTACAGTGCAGTCAGCATCTGAGCTTGTTCCTCACTACCTGCAAACTCTGGGGTCTCTCCATTTTAAGCAAGTGCACACACAAAGTTTTAGCACATGGGAACACGCAGCCCTATGTTGTGCTGAACATCTTTCTAACAGTTTCAAAAGGTTCTTAGCTTGCACTCCATGTATAGAGGAAAAATCCACAAAAGTATACTACCATATAAATAAAATGACAGCTGTCACTTTGTAGGAAGAGTTTGTGATGGACATAATCAATGCTCAAACAGCAATCATCTGTTTGGGATGGGGTGTATATTGGCAGGGCAACATATTAGACATCTTGTTATCCTATTAAGACCGAAATGTTAATGTATTTAGATATTTCTACCTGGCTTTCCTACCCAATGGGGACCCAAAGTATCATTCTCCCTTTCTCTATTTTATCCACACAACAACCTTTGTAAGGTAGATGAGGCTGAGAGAACCTGATTGACCCAAGATCACTTGGCAAGCTCCATAGTAGTGCAGGATTTCCCAGATCCTAGTCTGAACTCTAACCACTACACAACAATGATGTATGCCTTGTCCCAATGCAAGGCTCTCATGCACACTACCCAGCAAGTAAGCTCTGCTGATTGCTGAGGGACTTATTTCCACATCCACACACATAGGTCCAGGACTCACAGCTTGCCCTCATTAGACAAATTGGTTTCCAGTCACCTAGTGTAGATAGATACCAGAAGCAGGATACAGCCCTCTGTTTAAGCTTGGAACAAAGATATACAGCTGAGTTTAGAATGAGTCAAAGGGGGGGGGGAAGCATACTTCAGATGGTTCTGAGCTTGTCAAGAGAATACTGTTCAAGAAATCAATCCTATTCCTTTCAAAAAATGCTGCTGCTGCTGAGAAGAGAAAAGTGAAGCAGTTCTCTCAGTGTTACAAACGGTTAACCAGGCAGGAAAGCAGGAGGTTTGGTATAATCACTTTTCTGTCAGCTTTACTAAACAAGGAGAAACTCTTCCTGCTTGTGATTGTTTGGTAAAAGAGATGAGGGGGAATGAGAGCTCTTCATTGTCTCTGCAGCACATCTCCCAAGCCTTTAACTCCGTATTATCACTAAGCAACATCTCTTGAAGGAAACAATAAAGGCTGAAGGCATAATCCTACACACAGCTGTGCTGCTTGAAGTCCGGTTGAATTTCCTGGGGTAGAAGCAGCTTAGCTGTGTAGAGAATTGCAACTTCACACAGAGAGAAGCATGAACAAAGAAGGAGGGGGAAGAAAACCCTCATATACACCAGTTGCTAATATCTATCAACCTTACAGTTGTTGTTTTAAGTTAACAGAAATTAGAAGACAAGTTACAACACATTGACCCAAAAAACTTACCTCCTTTGCTTTTCTGCTGACCCAAACACACTGCAGTGCTCAGCAAGTTCTCCTCAATCACTCTTTAATAGAGCTCCAGGCACCTAAGGACAGTTGTGTATGATTGGGGGGGGGGCATATCACATGGGAAAGCTCTGCATCTGGTCAAACCTGTTCTTCAGTTGTGATGGGACCAGTGGGTGTCTCTGCCTGCAAGATTTTCTGATTATACTGGAATGTTGTTCTACGCACAGCCATTCACTGAACTCTATTGCATTTTTATCAAATATGGACAGGTGACTCATCTATATGTGATCTTTTGAAAGTGAATAGGCAAGTTTAAAAAAAGTTGCACAGGTATTCACATAAATCTCAAGGATTGTAACAACTACCAAGCAAGTGTAATGAAAACATTATCCCCTGGAAAAGAAAGGGGAACTTTATCGTACACAGCTGCCTTGTATGACAACAGACCATTGGTCTACCTTGCCCAGTATAAACTAATTGGAAACAGCTCTCCAAGGGTCTCAGGCTGAGATTTTCCCCTGAAACTGCTGCCTCAGACTCTTTTACTAGAGATGTCAGTATTTAAACCTAAGGTTTTCTGTATGTGAACTATGCTGTCTACCATTTAGGAATAACTGAATTATGGGTGGCAAGTGTGTAGGCTTTGGGTTCGCCACCATGAGGTACGTTTTGTGGTGAGCAAGTAGAATATGGCGATCACTGAGACAGGAACTGTGTATAAACAACATAGAAGATTATTTATAGGTTGGTTTCAAGGAACAAGTCAGCAGTACAGGTCTTCGGGTAGTCAGAGAAGAAACTTGTCTGAGGCACATAAATTTAAGCTAGCTATGGCATCAGAGTGTGATTTGAATTTTCTTTAATGTTTTCAGGCACAAACAGGCTTTTACTGACTAGTCACTAGGCTGGGTCCTCTCTTACACACACTGGATTCCAGCGCTCGGGATGTCAACATCCGGGTGGGACCTGGGTATCCCCCAGAATTACAGCTCATCTCCAAACTACAGAGAACAGTTCCCATGGAGATGCTGGATGCATTGGAGGGTGGGTTCCCCCATGGCATTGTACCTCCATGGGGTCCCTGTCTTCCCCAGGGTCCACCCCAAATCTCCAGGAGTTTCCCAATCTGGATCTGGCAACCCTAGGGTTGCTAGGTACCCTCCTTCTGCTGGCAAGGGGAATTGGGGGTGTTCGGGGGCAGGTGAGGATGGCGGCAATGTGATAGGGTTGCCAAATCTCCCTTACCTTCTCGGCGGGGGATCCCTGGCCATCTTCTGGTGTGCGTGCGCGCCGCATCTACGTCACCCGGATGTGACGTCACACGCTGGGGCGGGGCCACAGCCATTTGACGTTACATCCGGGTGACGTGCACGCGGGGGTGGGGTTTCCCCTGGGCCCCGATTCCGCGGGGGCGGAAATCGGGGCTCGAAAGCGGGGGGAAATCCGCCCCCCGGGGGCATTTGGCAGCCCTTCAATGTGATGATATCACTTCTGGAAGTGGCATCATCATGTCAGCGACATCAAGGTAACACCCTTATTTGTTGGGCAAAACTCTATGGTAAAGACAGCTACAAACCATAAAGTTTTGCCCAAAAAAGCAGAGCGTTGCTGATGCAATGATGTCGCTTATGGAAGTGACATTAGTGCATTGCCAACATCACACAGGGGTGTCCGTTTGGGGGTTGGGTCTCCCCCACTGGCCAGCGTGCTGTCAGCAGGCCATAGCCTGCAAAAGTGGGGGATTCCCCCATCCCGACCATGAACCTGGCAAGCCTAGGCAACCCTTCCCCCCCATCCTCCAACACTGACCTTGGGGGGGGGGGGGGGCCGGGGGGGGTGCCAGCAACCCTAAGTTCCACCCACACCAGCCTGCCGTTACCCAACAGTCAAACTAAATGGTATGAGGTCTGCTCATTACCAGAGACAGGCCTAACAATCAAGTACTCTAGTCACTCTGTTCTCTCACAGAGGTAGAGCTAAACCACTTTACCACACTGCCAGGAAGAGCTACCTTTCACACTGTCTGCTATTTTACTGAGGCAGACCCAGATTGTCACTGCACTGTCTCCCTGAGGCAGATCTGAACTCCCTCTGTGCCCTCTCTGAAGCAGCTCTGACCTACCTGCTGCTGCGCTTCCCTCCAACATTCCATCCCCCTTCTAAAAGGTGACCGGATTCTGGAGCAGCACTCCCATAGGCTCAGTTGAGATGCTGTTTTCCCCTTCAGGGGCAGGAACCCTCCTGTCTGTCACACTTTGTGTCTCCAAGGAGCCTTTATTCAGAAATAGCCAACATGTTGTGATTGGCCTCAGCACCACATGGCAGCCATTTTGTGGTAACACTCACTCTCTTTTCTCAATAGGCTCACTGAGACTGGGGGGACCACTGGTGTCTGCTATCATGGCACAGAAATGGGAAGTTGCGACTGCTCTAGGCCGGTGATAGAGCTCATCTCCATAGCTTGGAAAATATTGTCTGTTGATTTCCAGGTTGCCAAAGGCCTAGGAAGAAGTCAGGTTGCCAGTTGGCCATGCCAGCAGGATTAGAACCTTAGTGGAGATTTTTCCATTGATTTTAAAGTTTCTGTCTTTTTCTGGAAGGTTGCAAGTACTTTTAACAGATGTGTGACAGGCAGAAGTTCATCTGGTGCACAGCTTCCTCCAGTATGTAGAAACAACTATGGGGAGAGTTTTGTCTGCCAGTGTGAAGGCTAACACATTTCTTTCCCACCTCCTCCTCATGTACCAATGCAAAGAAAGGTCACTGCCTACACTTTGGAGACTCAGCAAACTCCACATCATTTCCCTAGTATTCCTAGTGGGGAATGTAGAAAAATTATCTTGCTGTCTTCAGTAAAATCAGAGAAGAAGGTTGGAAAGAGTATTTGATCTGTGACTTTATCTTTTCACAAGAAGCATAAGTTGGGGAGGGACCTGCTTCCATTTTAGCACCTGAGATAGCCTCAGCCTCTAGTTGTCAAAAAACAGATGGTTCATCACCCACTAAATGTTTCCTCAATCTGCTGTGTAAGGCCATTTTACTCACCCATTGGTAGGGCCAATGTAAGTGTCTTATACTTGCATTCCCCCTCCTTCAGTTTTTCTTTCTTTGGTAATGTTAAATAAAAAGAAGGAAGGAGGTGGGGTAATTTTGCCAAACTTTATTTGAGAGATTAATCAAATGGCCATATTTATATGATGAAAGCAATGCCACAAAATAGAAGAGGAAGAAGAAACTGGATTTATACCCCGCCCTTCACTACCCGGAGCTTACAATCCCTTTTCTTTCATCTCTCTACAACAGACACCCTGTGAGGTAGATGGAGCTGAGAGAGCTTTTTCAAGAACTGCCCTTGAGAAACCAGCTCAGAAAGAACTTGTGATTGATCCAAGGTCACACCAGCAGCTGCGTGTAGAGAAGTGGGGAATCAAACCCAGGTCTCCCAGATTCGAGTCTGCACTCTTAACCACTACACCAAAATGGCTTCCAAAATACACTTTGTCTATGGTTTTGGGTGCTGAAGGGATCTTGCAAATGCCCTGATATATGCCAGAATTGTGACTTACCACCTACTAGTTATGACTGCAACATATGTCAAAGCATTTAAAAGATCACTTCAGCTCAATTAAATCCACCGAGAAAAAGTCACTGTCTGTTGAGTCCTGTGAACTGACCAAAATGATTTCATACATGGGCATCATTTAGAGACTCCAACTGATCAGAGGAAAAACTAGCCTGATCTTCTCATGTATTTTAACACGGCCTCAGTTCTGCAAATAATCAAGGTGAAGCTCTTTATGGCATCAAAGAGATAAAATTGTTTGCTGATATCTACAGACTTAGGCCCAGGAGCGGGGTCTGACATTTGGAAAAACTCCACACAGCATCCATGGACAATATCAGATGGACACTCAGATGATACACAAGGTATAAGCATTGTTTTACTACATGATATCCATATATGAAATTACTGTATGCCAAGCAGCCCACAAAGGTGAGATGGCCAACTTTTGGGGAGGCAAAGCTTAACATCTGCTTGACAAGTAGAGAACCCATCACTGCATCTCCAAGAGACTCAGAAAACTTTATTTCTTGAACTTATACTAGGGTTGCCATGTTACCACCACCCCCAACCACCAGCAGGGGATGTGGGGGAGTAGGGTTGCCGGATTGATTTGCGGATGGAGCCTGGGGAGGACAGAGTCTTCAGTGGGGTGCGATGCCATAGAGTCCACCCTCCAAAGCATCCATTTTCTTGTGGGGAACTGATCTCTGTAGTCTGAGTTGTAATTCTGGGGATCCCCAGGTCCCACCTGGAGGCTGGCACCCATAATTTCTACTTTCTAGAAATAGTTTCAGATGATAGCCATACTGGTCTGTAGTAGAATGGCTAGTCCAGTAGCTCCTCAGGAACCAATGAGATTTTCTAGCAGAGTCGCCAGCTCTGGGTTGGGAAGGTTTGGGGGGGGGGGAAGAGACCTCAGCAAGGTACAATGCCATAGTTGACCCTCCAAAAAAAGCCATTTTCTCCAGGGAAACTGATCTGTATCATTTGGAGATCAATTCCAGGCCCCACATGGAGGTTGCAGCACAAAACAAAAGGGATCACAGATATCCAAAGGGAAAAAAAAACACAAGCAAACCCTGTGATATGAACAACATTTATAAGATTTACATTGCTTTTCTAAAACTTTAAAAAATTGCAACAATTTCTCCAACATTCTCACTTATACAATATTGTAAAAAAGTCCACATAGTCCAACATAATGAGTACCCGGTTGTGAACTCATTTCAGCTTTACAGTCTTCCTCAGATATAATCCTATATTTAAAGGAGGTGTCAGCTTCTTAATCCAGCTCAGTATTGTAAATTCTTAATTTCCTTCATAGTGGCTAGATTCTCAAAGCGACATGTAAGGGATTCTATCCTGAAAGCAACTACAGGAACACCCTTGAAAATCGGGGACAACACTATCAGGATTCTAAAAGACATTTCATTTAAGATAAGACAAAAGAGAAAGAAATATAAAGATGTAATCTTTTTTCTTC